TAATTGACTCTCGAACCCAATCTTGGTTATTAAGGCCAAAATTGGATTTTCAAAAATCTTTTCTTTTTCAAATGTTTTGAGTAAAATATTGGTAGCGACTCCATGAACTTACTTTCAAAACCATTATTTGAGGATTAGTCTGGTATCCGGACATTCCTTAATTAATGAGATTTTCAAAAATGACATTCCAAACCATTAGTCGTAAGATTGGAACTTTTTGGATTACGATAGTTGTCTTGTAAAGAGTACCATTCTGTTTACCACGAACTATTATCGTAACACCCTTTGAAATCTTTTAATGATCACCATGGAACACTATTGTTATCCATCATTAGCCAACTGGTCTACTAAGATTAACTTTTTTTTATTTATTATTTTACTGTTAAAAATAATAAATTATAAATTTATTGTAATTGTATTTTTAAATTTACCGTATAAAAATATATTAAATAATAATTTATATAATTTATCTATTATTTTTTTACTTTTATTTTTTATATAAATTTATTATTTATTATTATTTTTAAATAGAATTAACATTAATTATAAATTATTGTTTTATAATTGTTAAAATAGATTCAAAAAATATTAAAATTTAAAAGAAAAAAAAAGTTATCCACAGTTACTGTAAATAAGTTTTAAATAATTATTCAATTATAAATAATTATTAAGGGAAGTTTGTCAATTTTTAAAATAATTATATTAAAAATTATAAAAATTAAAAAATAAATTTTATTAGATGACAGTATAAAGAATTTTACATTGATAGTGTATTATTATTAAATTTGTTTTAAAATTTATAGTTTGTATAAATAAATATCAAAAAATTTAAAATAAATTTAATTTATATAAAATAAAATAAAAATATGTAATAAGTAAATTATATAATTTAATAAAAAATTGGAATAATTTATAAATTAGTATAATTAAAACAAAAATATTTTTTATAATCTATAAATCTTGTAGTAATGATATATAGTGTGTACTTTATAAATTAAATAATCTGAATGATTTCGTAGTTTTAATTTATAAAAAAAAGTAAAAAATTAATTTTATTTTGAATATTATTATTATGTTAACCAGTTAACAAATATCAAATATTCAATTAATAGATTCAAAAATTATTTATTTTTAAAATAATTAAAATCAGCCAAATAAAAATTAAGTTTATAAATTATATAAACAGAACAACAATATTTATTGAATAAATATTTTTTATTTTTATTTTAATATAGACTATTTTAATTTTTATCCATTATTTATAATTTTTTAAAAAGTGTTTTAAAATCTCTCCATTGCCCTCTAAATCTCTCAATATTAGAAAAAACTAAAATTAAATTGTAAGAGATTTTTCTCTTCTCCTATGCATTCCCTTAAACTAAATATCGTCTAAATTTAAAAAAAAAACTCATTAAATATACTATAAGATTTTCAAAATTTATGATTTTTAATAAAATTTATAAAAAAAATTATTAGTAAGATAATGTTATTTTGAGGCTACTGCCATTTGTTTAATAAACAAACCAAACTTTAACAACTTTTTTTTCTCTCCTTATTTTACTTCAATTTAATTTTATTTTTTTTTCGGAAAAACCGAAACTTGAAGTATGCGGCTCCACTTGTTTATACCGAAGTGTATTGAAATTGAACTGAACCTGAACGAAGCATGAGCAACGCTTGAAGAACCACAGATAGATACATTTTTTGTTTTGTTTCGATGCTCTCTTTGGCGAAAAGGCTTGAGCTTCGGCCCATAACGATCATCCTGGGCCAGGTCCGGTCCGCCCGAACGCGCCCAAAGTCGGCGGCGGTGGCGCTGAGGAAGACGGAGGAGCGGTCGGAGTGGTGGGCGGTGGACGGCGAAATGCACGAGATCGGCGATAACGTGCCGCCACGTGAGCGCTTTGTGATCCCCCGAGAGAACATTCCCAACAAGCGCCGCAAGCAGCTCAGAGACCAGTTCATGCGCCGAACGCGCCTCCTTCTCAAAGAATCTGTTTGTCCCTTACTTTTTCCTTTTTCTCTTAATTAATTAATTATTTATTTATTTCAGAATCAAATTTGTTGGAGCATGTGAGTGGTTTAAAGCATATTAATTTCTACAACTGAGAAATTGTAAACTTAGTGCCTGAAAAGTCAAATAAGTTTTTAAATTTATTTACTTAGTGGTTTTAGTCTCTGAATATATATCAAATTAGTACTTGGAAAGTCAAATAAATCCTTAACTTTTGCAATTGTTGTTGCTGAGACCCCTAAATCCTTGACGAAGCAGTACGTTGCAAATCAGTTTTTAAAAACCTTTACACTTAATAAAATGGTTTAGTTTAAGGATGTATTTGATTTCTATTTGCAAAGTCTATTTTTTGTTTTCAAGATGCAACTAAAGTAGGATGCTACTTTAGAGTCTGAAGCAGGCACAAAACAGAGATGAAATTGAGGGAGAGACTGAATTATAGATGAAAACAGAAAGATGACTAAATATTTTCCAACTGCTTGTGTCTTTTTGTTTTGGAAATAATTTTTAAAAGAGTTGGTTTTATATGAGAAATTGGTTTTTGTGTAGTGTGGGATTATTTTATACAGTAGTTTTTGAAACCAAAAAGTGAGGACGGGATGGAGTCTGGTTAAGGATTACAAACTTAGGTAACGAGTGACTAAACCCAAATGATTTTTTAAATGTAGGAACTCAAAATGAATAAAATTCTTATAAGGATTAAAACCAAAAGTCATGATATTTTTAGAGACCACCAACATATTTAAACCTAAGACAAATTATTCTGTGCCATTGCATTTTGTGTTCTTCATTTTGGATTTTCAGAATTTTATATGGTTACTATCTTGCTCAATGTGAATTAGAAATGTGATGGATATTATAATGCTGATGCGTTATTGACTTGGTAATTGGAGAAGTGATGTTAGTCTGTGATTCTTTTTTTTTACGTAAAACAAATGATTAAAAATCATAATTGTTGTCTGAAATGCTTGTCTTGTACTGAAAGGAGCATGATCCTTGGTGCAAAAAGTATATGGAGCTGTATAATGAACTTAGAGAAAACTGGGAAAGGCTTTATTGGGATGAGGGTTACTCCAAAAAGCTTGCTCAGGATCATGCAAACTATGAGTCTGCTGAAGATGATGATGGGGATTTCAACCCATACAGGTTTGTCTCTGTTGATTCCTTTTGTTTTTGTTTCTTGCTAAGGCTTGTAAATGCTTTCATCTCGAGAAAAAGATATTGCTATTAATGACACATTCATGAATTTGATGACTGAAGTGGTTGTCCTTCTGAAACAAGAATAGTTAGGTTTTATTTGAAGAATTATTCTTTGACGATTTTGAAAAAACTAGTCTTTTTTTGTTAGCTATATATTATTATGGTTCCTGATTTTCTGTTTGAACTTTTTTGTGCTGATCAGTGTTGGTTGGTTGGGTAACAATTAACAAGCAACAACCTTTACTTTGAAATTTCTATTTAACAATATTTCACTATTTTCCTTGGTCAATCAGATTAATGGTTCAAAATTCTTTAGCCATTAAATGATGGGACTCATAGGGATGGTGTCTAATCTTGGTATTTTTTTCTTTGGCATTTCAGGAGTAGAAGGCCTCAGTCTCAGATGGAGCATAGTAAGGTACAATTGAATGATTTAAATATAGTAATGATTTGTATAGCAGTTTTTTCTTGTCAGGTTTTTCTGTATGTCATGAAATTTATATCTTTGTTCCCAAGGATATTGTTTCATTAATGAGCTATGCAGAATAAAGTGCCACCAGAAATAAATTGCATCTTGCCTTTTTGTATTTTGCCCATATCAAAGTTTTGCCAATGATTAGGCTTTGACCTTTAGAATTTCAACTTAAGAAGCCCAACATGAGAGTTGATGAATCTTTTTTTGATGCCAGTTAGAATGTGAAATGAATGATACTCGGTTTAAATTTGTCCCACTTTGGCAAGCATATCCAATTTGTAAGGAATGATAGGCCAACTTTTATGTCAACTGAGACTAAATCCCTCCCAAATGATCTTAAGGCACAATTGTTGTCTTTTGCATCATTTGATTTTCATATTGTTACTAGTTGACTCTAGCTCCAACTTCTGCCCCATTTAGTTCTGTTTGTTTGAGATAGTTGTAATCATTAAGATTGAAATAGTTTACAATAATTTTCTGTGCTACTATCTCTCTGATTATTGGATTGTAATGCAGGACCAGCGTTTTGGGAGAAACAGACAATCTGATAACCTGGAGAAAGTTAGCCTTCTTCGAGATAAATTTGAGTATGACAGAGAGAGAAGAATGAGAGAGAAAGGTTAGAATATAATTCTAGCTGGTTACCACTCTCATACATCATCACTGAGTTCTACAGTTCTAGTAATCCCATAATACAACTTTTCTGGATGAACTAATTTTTTTGAAATTTTTGAAAATGGCCAATGGATTATATAATATCACCGGTACATTTTGTGTTCATCATGGTACAGAACCAATTTTTTTTCTCTTCTGAATTTTAAATGTTGAGCATGAACAGAGACTAACTAGCCTGAGTTGAGTTTAATGTGCGTGTGTGTAATTCAGCTAGCTCACTGTGCGTGAGTTGAGTTTAATGGGATGTTTTGCTAAATGAACCACTAATCAAGTTAGAGTCAATCCTAAATTGAATGTAGCAGAAGACAGAACTAACTCATTAACAGTTTGGTTCTTTATTACCAGCCGATAAATTGAGCTTTAGGCCTTTGACTAATGGTTGTTTTGTGTTTTGTTTTCTTTAGCCCATCATTCTAAGAGATGCCGGTCAATTTGGGAGAAATTATCTCTGTGAATATGCTTAAATTTGTTTTTCATGCTATTCTAATTTAAAATTCTCAGTAGCATTTGTAGAGGCCAGAATTAGTTTGTCATGAATTTCTTTGTGTGGGAAGCAATCATGTCATTTTCTTCAAATTAAAGTTAAAAGTTCATATCTAACAAGGATTTTTGTTATGTTTGTGCATGGTAGTAATGTTAGTAAGTTACAACACATTGATCCTTCAAATAATGCAATAGGTATCAAGGAAAAGATTCTTCCCAATCACTTGTTCTAAATATTGCTAGAAATGACCATGTGATGCATGAAAATCTAAGTAAACTATCTTCTGTGATAATTAGGAATTTTGTTCTGTTGGTTGTTGGGATCAATTCATCGGTATTTGTCTCTTTATATATAGAAGATTCAGTTATCATCTTTACTTCATTGCAGCATTTGCACCCATTCATGGAGGATCTGTGCCCGACTCTCATGATTCAGAACGCTGGAACCAACCCCTAAATACTGATCGGTATTTCAGCCAAACAGAAAGGCATTGAGACGAGAATAAATTAAATCTGCTATATGTGCTGCTGCTGCCGATATAACTAGATTGAGTTAATTCTGACATCTTGTTAAAATGTGCTTACAGCTAGAGAAATAATTTTTTTTAAAGCTCCTTTGGTTAGGCAGGACTTATGTTCTAAACAGAAATATGATTATGTATTAATAGTTTAATACGCTGACCTTTGCCCTGCCTTTCTCTGTTCCCAAAGTTGACCGTGACTTGTGAGAAGGGTATAGAAAATTGAAAGGAATCTGAAACTGGTGAGATATTGTATTTAATAACCTTATTTATTATGTAGATTTTTTCTTTTTTCATACCTTTCTTTTGGTTTAGTTGATGGAATGCATTGATTGGGAAAAATCCAACATAATAACAACTCAATAAAAAATAATAATGCAACTAAAATTAAATCTCCCTATTTGCAGGAATCAGTGAGAAACACCAATAAAATATAGCAAAAATAGATAATTCAAATGTACAATAGACACAAATAATTTTAATATAAAAAATTTGTAAGGATAAAAATTATGTGTTATATAACTTAAGAAAAATTGTATAAGAAAGTCTTTGATGAACACATTAAATATTTCTTGCAATCATAATATTGATATAAATTTTAAATATAATTTATATATTTAAATGTAATATTTATTTGTATAATTTATTATAAATTTTAGTTGTATATTAATAAATAGTTTATTTGTGTATTGCACATGTTAAAATATTAGTAATTATTATGTTTAAATATATAAATTATCTTTAAATTTTGTATAAATAGATATTTTAGACAAATAAATTACATTTTATATTTATGGTAAATAATTTATATTATAGTTCAATATTTTTGTTATTTATTAATAATTTATTTTAAGGATATTAAAATTTAATTTATAAATAATTATGATAAACTAAAAATTAAATTCGATAAGAAGTTAAAAAAAAATTTCTAAAAACCTTCTTGTCAAAAGAAAGTCCTTAAAAACGTTTTTGTGCAAGATAAAGATTAGTATTTAATATTTAGGCTTAAAAATACTTTTAGTCTTTCAAATTTAGAATAAATTTATTTTTTGTCTTTTAAATTTGAAATTGTTATTTTTAGTTCCTATAATTTTTATAAAAAAAATTTAGTCTCTTAGGTCACAAATAATATCTGAAAGTGACAGATTAATCCAGTTATGTAATATTATTTGAGTTTAACATAATACTTTCACTAATAAAACAATAGTAAGTAGATTTTATGCGATAATATTTGATAAATTTCTTAATAAAATTTGAGTATTAGGATTAAAATAAGATTTTTTAAAAAAATTTAAAAACTAAAAAAATTAATTTTAAATTTATGGGACTAAAAACATATTTAAACATAATATTTATTAGTATTTCCTGTGCAATACATAGACTAAATATTTATTAAATGTAACTAAAATTTATAATAAATTATATAT